ATAAGCACAAATTATTTAGTTTGCTCTTATGTAGTAATTTAAAAAAAAAGCATATGTTGTTTTTGCTTTGCATAACAAGAACTTTACTCCTATTAAAAAAGTTGACAGATTTTAGTTTTATTAAGACAATAATCTAGAGTAGGAAAGTCTCCATGTATTCTGCAATTATATAATATTAATGTTTGGAAAATGTTTCTCAGTAGCATTATTTGTTAAAGTTGATGATTCAAGTTTTGATTGATTAGAACAAAGTGTCATTGCTACATTTGCAGTGCATTAGCTCTGACATTTTTAGCCCCATTCGCTACTATAAACAGTTTGATAAAGTCTAATGCACGGCCTGTATCATCCAGTTTTAACATGGCATGGCTTTGCTTTGAAACTGAGCTGGGTTCACAGGAAGCTGCCTGTCAGCAGCAAAGATCAAAGTATGGAAGTTAAAGCCCTACAGACACTGTCATTCTCTACAAATGTTTACTCAGCCACATCCTGTATCGCATTACTCATATACTCCTTTACCCTCTCAGCTGCTTCATTTCCTCAGGTAAAGGTCTTAGTATTAGTTGCTGTAGTAAAATAACTTTAGTAACTTGTATTTATTTATTTATTTCATTTTAACTGATCAAGTAGATTCATATGAGGAAGAAAAGCAACACATTCAAATTATTGTGGAGCTCCATCTGGATTTTTCATCTGCTGTACATAAATCTATAGGACATTGACTGAACAGTTTGTGCAGTGATGTTTTAATAGATTGAAGTAATGATGATTAACAGTTGGACTCATTTTGTTTTCAGATGTTTCTGCTCTTGTAGAAATTGTGCTATTAGATTGTTTCTGTCTAAAATAAATTGGTTTTTATTTTAAGTTGGTGCACAAATAAATGACTGCTTTAGTTTATACCTGTGATTATAAGAGGTGTGGGTTAAATAATTCAGAAATGTGAACTGAATTTAGCCCATTGTGTAACCATAGCATATCTAGTTGAATAGTTTGACTAAATCCACTGTGAAATAAATAAATAAAGTTCAAAGCACTTCGAATGCCTGACATATCTAGCTTACATTCTTACATTTTACATTTACAGAGTAGGAGTTTTGAGAATAAACCCCCTTTTTTTCTGTCTTGACTTGAATGCTAAGGTAAAGGGATGTGTGGTGTTGCTATCATATTTTCAGTGATCTCTCCTTAGCTGCTGTATGTGGCTGAGAGCCCGTTGTGAAAATCTGGCCCAGCATCATCACCCAGTATCCCACATAGCTAAACATATGGTGCTGCCTTTGTGTCAATTGCACTCTGTGGGGTTTCTGGTAATTAACAAGATGACAAACAAATGAAATGATGAGCACAAGGTGGGTTTAGTTTCCCTTTGCATTGTTTTTTTTAAATGTATTTATTTTTTTATTTTATTCAGTTATAGGATTTTAGCAAGATGCAACAGAAATGTAGACAATAGGACAAATGGAAATAACATTTTTAAATGTCTTTAAAAATGCCTAAGTAGGTGTAACTGCTCAACATATTATATTGACAAGATGTTTGCCAAGGATTGACAAACAAAACAAAACAAAAAAAAAACTGTTGTGAAATTCAGGTTTCTGTTTTAGTAACACATGATGAATTCCTTGCTCTTGTAATCATGTATATGTTATTATATTATTATTATAGTTAACCTTTAATACAATAATAGGGAAATCTTTTACGATCATTATTGTTTGCATATTTGCAAGAAATGTCCTAAACAACACATATTTTTGTTAATTGAACCTTAAATTCCAAAAGGTTGTACAATTTATGCCTTTGATTCTCAAATAAATGAACGTATGCCTGTAGATTTTTTGTTTCATTTTTATTTTATCTTGTATGCTAATTATTTCTCAGGTATGAAGCATTATTAGCAAAAGTTCATTTATTGATAGTCTACTAAATAATTAACAATGCTAGTGCTCTAACGGTTTATTATTCTAACTAAAAAAAAAATAAATAGTGGGAGAACATGTAGCCATTCAATGCTGTAGCTTCAGAGCAGTTCTTAACAATCCAATTACACAAACTAGTTGCATTATTATTATTATTATTATCTGCTACAATTATTTCTGCTTCTGCTGATATGATCAAAAGCATTTATTATTAAGGCACCATTGCTTACTGCATATTTTAATTGGGGCTTTGGCAAAAGCAAGCAGCATTTGATTTAAAGGCTGCATCTCCCAAGTTTGCATGACTTGCAGTGCAGTTTACTTTTATAGTGCTGAATTCCCTCGGGCAATGACGGAGATGTCATCATTAGTGGGTTGTAGACTATGACTGTGTTGACTACGATGGCTGCAGAGGTCCATACCATGGTCAGCCAAGTCTGTGGCCCAGTAGCAGTGTCTGGTTTGTGTTTTTCTTATCTGGTCTCCCATCTGGTCATATGCTTTTGCACTCGTCGGCTCCTGCTGAATAAATTTGAAGAGCTAATGAGCAAGGAAGCTCTGCAAAGACCTGAAAAAGGGCACCTCTTTTCTTTTCTTTTCCTCTGGGG